AACATGATATAATATATATATATATATATATATATATATATATATATATATAAGTACCTCGCGAGCTTGTGTGAGACCGAGTTCGGATGGTGGACCTCTTGCCACCCCTCGAAGGAGGAACAACACGGCATAAGCATAAACTGTTGGCGCTCTGCGCGGATTCCTTCTTGGATCTGCGCTGGCCCCCCCCCGCGGCGCGCCTTTGGCGCGCGCTCCGCGCGCCACTGTGGGGGGTCCAGCGCAGATCCAAAAAATCCGGGCGGAGCGCCAACAGATCATGTTTATGGCGTTTTTTCTTCTTCTTGCAGCGGAGTTCGGCTGGTGGGCCTCTCGCCACCTCCTGGCCTTGCAGGCCCAGCTCTCCTCCGTGGGAGCCCGAGGCCCCCACGCCAATCAGAGAGCACGGCCCCCCCAACCACGCGGCGCGTTGGGGTGAGTCGCCGTCTGGACTGGTGGTCCCACCTCCTGGTCGCCTCGTTGCCGCCTCATGAGCGCGGACGGAGGATCGCCGCAGAAGCCCCAGGGGGCGCAGGGAGTCGTGGCCATCCCGCTGGGGCCGCGGCAGTCGGAGGTCAGGTCAGGCCAGGTCAGTGTGGCCGCGAAAGCTCCTCGATGAGAAGGCAGCCGTGGTGGGCGAAGCCACTGTATCCCCAGCCCGCAGCCCCAAGCAGGGCCAACTGAGAAGCAGGACCACCTGGATCCCGTAGAACATGTGGGGCACAAGGCCCGTGCCCAGAAGCATGCCCAAGCCAGGGAAAGTCAACAGCAGTCCGAGGCAGATCAACGAGCACATAAAGGTTTTTCTTCTCCTCTTCCTCCGCCTCCTCCGCATCCTGGGCCTCGAAGCCGCAGTCGTCGGGGAGGGAGTCCTTGGCGCCAGGCCCTTCGCAAGACCGCGGGGCACGGGCGCGGGGAGGGCAGATGGGGGGAGAGAAGGACCGCCCACCCCCAACCAGAAGGAGCAGGGGAGGGGACGGGAGGGAAGAGACAAGCCAAAAAAGAGCTGAGCAAGATACGAGACCCCTCCACTCCACCCTGAACTACCCAACAACACCAACAACCATCAAGGGCGAACCATATGCGGAGATCGGCCTGCACTATTTCGGGGATTAGGAGCGGGTGGGGCTTGTGAAAAGGAAAAATGCCTGCCACCTGGACCAGGACCCTCTTGCGGTCCCGTGATCTTTGACGTCGGCGTCGAAGCGCTTCTGCCCGACTGGCAGCACTGCGGCCAAAACGTCGGGGGGGGAGTGCTGAGGGGGAGGAGGGGTGGGACTCAACAGCAGAAGGAAGGGAATGAGTCTGTGTGCTGCCACACGCTTCAGCAGCAGCTGTGGCAACCGATTGTGTGGCTTCGAGCTCCTCTTCCTCACCTACAAGTTAAAACTTTGTGACATCAGGTCTTGAATACATTATGGCCGAGATACGTCTTCCTAACCTCACGAATCTCAGCAACATCTTCCTCAACGGTTCCTGCTAATAAGGGTGATTGTTCAAGCGATGCAGGCAACACGGCACGGAGCATAGCATTCGCTAGAGCTTCGCACAGTTTAGGCGGGCAAATTTCCTTGGGCGAGATCTGCCACCTTTTCAGCATCTTGTGCCAGCCTGCAATGGCCGAACGGGCCGTCGGCCCATGGGAGCAGGACCCCCCTCAGAGAGTGCCACGCAGCATTCCATGCATCCCGGTGAGGCGAATACCATCGAACACCTACTCCGAGTTTCTTAATACGCGTCGGGGAGCGTCACACCCGCCGACAGCCTCGCATCAACCCCCGTCGCGGGCAGCCACCGCGCGCCGAAGGCGCTCCGACCCCCGTCGCGGCGCGACGACGAGGCGAGGTTGACCCCCGTCGGGGGGGTACCCCCCCGCGCTTAGTAAGAAACCCAGAGCTTCAGAGCGTGAACTACCTACCCCGCTTTCGCTTCCAGGCAACACCAAGTCATACCACGCGCCTCCTCGTCAAGCGGCCTGACCAGCGCAGGCCGTAGTCTGGCATCGTTTGGTATCTCTTGGAAGCGAGGGTGGTCAATAGCGAGGTAGGTTTGTTTTCCCCCTAAGGGTGCCTGTCCAAACGCACTCTGGTCAGGCGAAGTATAGCCAGCAGAGGAAGCGGCGCATGACACCTTCAGCGGCAGGAGCCTCCAAGGGGGCACACTTCTGGGCTCTCATGGCAGGGGGCGATGGGTGTTCCATCCAAGCACACCCCTGGGAAACGGCCATGACTGACTGACATCGGAGGCCTAGAGGTTGACACCAACACCAATATCAGCGGTGTGCCTCCACCGAGGGACGAATATTCCGATCTCGGCGATGGTGGTAATAGTTTGGCTTCCTAGGCGGCCGAAAAGTTACCACCAACACCGAAATCTAGGATCATCTTCCCCTGGTGGAGGCAACCCCCTGTGTTGGTGTTGGTGCCAATTTCCAAGCCTCCAATGACAACACTTCAACCATCGATTGCAGCAGATTTTTTGAAACCGTAATCTGCAGCTGCTGCCGAGGCGTGCGATTAGTGACGCCCCATGGCGCCTGCCAGCTGCGAAGGGTGGGAGTGGGCTTCTTCTCTCCATGTCGCAGCACAGAAAGTCTCACAAGGCCCTCTCCCTCCCCTACAGCCATTACCCTTCCTGCTCAAATGTGCCCTGAGAAGACCTGTACCGAAGAGCTTTTACGCAAGTCCCCCCGCTCCGAGTCCAGCAATCTATGAACTGATAGCACGGCCACCTCAAACGAAAGCGTGTGCCCCGCGAGCGACAACGCAGCCGCGTGCTGTACATCACCCTTGTTCTCGTTCGTAGCAGAAGCGTTCGCCATGAAGACCTGCCCGATCAAAACGCGCCTGGGGATGTTGACTGCTTTCGGCTCCGCCCCAGGGCGCATGCCTCGCCTCAACCCGATCCGTTTCGCCAACCCCCGTTTGGCCCCACCCTTGCGGTGGCAGCGTCCGGGGCCAGAGAGGGCCCACCTGCGCGGAGGCGTGGCCTTTCTGCTGGCGCGGGAGCGGCGCAGGGAGGCAGCTGCGGTGTCGCCATCCCTGGTGCCCAAGACAGCAGCGAGCTCTCTGGAAGCCAACTCCAGGGCTCGGTGCTCCGTTTACAGATATTCGCCCACGCGCTGAAGGAGAAGGATCAGGACGAGAGGAGGAAGGCACCTACGGCTTCAGGCGTGCTGACAGAGGCAGCGGCGTCGGCGGCGTCGGCGGCGGTGGCGAGGGATCCTCCGCGGGGTTGCTTGGCGGTCCCCAGCAAAGAAGCCGAAGCTCTGAGCCCAGATTTTCTTTTCCTTCATGGCTCGAGGAGGGGATCGACCACATAATCTATTTGCCCCGAACTTGTTTTTGCGTCGCATCCATGAGCGATGCTGCGTATGGTTCTGTAGACTCGACGAGGAAATCGATGCTGGGGTGAATTCGATGCTGTGGTCGATTCCCTGCTCGAGTGCCGCGGTCGCCCCGAGGGCGGCCTGAGCGCCTGGCTGGCTGGAAGCCCTGGGGGGGCCGGAAGGGATCCAGGACGAAGGGGATCCTCCTCCTCCTCCTCCTCCTCCTCCTCCGCCTCCGCCTCCCCCCCCCTCCGCCTCCCCTTCCTCCTCCTCCTCCTCCTCCTCCTCCTCCTCCTCCTCCTCCTCCTCCTCCTCCTCCTCCTCCCCCTCCTCTTCCTCCTCCTCCTCCTCCTCCTCCTCCGCCACCACTTTGATATGTTTGAAGTGCGGGTTGGTGTCTGGTTGGTCTGGTATGTTTGAGGGACGGGTTGGTTTGACATGTTTGAAGGGCGGGTTGGTTCTCTCAACTTTGATACGTTTGAAGGACGGGCTGGTTCGATATGTTTGAAGGGCGGGTTGGTTCTCTGGTTGAAGGACGGGTTGGTGCTTGGTTGGTCGGTTCGTTGATTCGTTGAACGGGTTGGGATGTAATCGGCTGGTGACTGATTGGTTGGTTGGTCGGTTGGCTGATTTGGATCGACCGAGTGATTGATCGATCGATCGGTCCCTGCCTCTGGCCATCACCTCGGCCTCAGCAACACCCTTCTGGCTACCCCTGGGCCTCTGAGTCGGCCAGGGAACGCATTGCGACGCGGCTGGCGGCGGCTCCAAGTTACGGATGTGCTCCAATGACCTTGCCGTAGGAGGCTGGCGGGAAGGCTCTTGGAAGCAGGGGCAAGCCTTCTTACTGTGAAGGCCTTGCGGCCTGTGCCGCCGACCCTGACGGCGGGAGCTCCCCGGGAACCTCCGTGGGCGCCCCCCCCTCTGGACCCGCCTGGACCCCGGGGGGGGGGGCGGTACTCTAGCTCGGGACCCCCCCCCCCCACCAAAGACGGGACCTCCCCCGGGACCCTCCCCCACGACCCCTCACGGGCTCTCGGGCACAGGCAGTATTGCACCGTCTCCCGCAGGAAGTATTGTGTTGCATTGCCTCCCGCCAGGGGTATTGCACCGTCTCCCGCATTATGTTGCCTCCCGCAGGAAGTATTGTACTGCCTCCCGCAGGGAGCACTGCCTGGGGTGCCTGGTGATGCCTGCCTGCCTGCCTGGGGTGTCTAGGGTGCCTGCCTGCCTGTGATGCCTGCCTGCCTGGATGCCTGTCTGGGGTGCGTCCCATTTCTGGCGGTCACTCCAGTTGCTGGGGCGGGTGACCTGGGTGGCCGAGGGGGGGGTGGGGCTGTCGGGTGGTGCCTGGATGGGGTGCTTGCCTGGGGTGCCTGCTAGGGTGTGCTTGCCTAGTGTTGCCCTATTGCAGGGAGTACTGTCTCCCGGAGGGAGTATTGCCTTTGGTTTTGCATTGCACTTCCTCCCGCAGACAGTTTCGCCTCTCGGCGGGGGGGGCCTGTCCTGGGGACTCCTGCCTGTGAGTGCATGCCTTGGGTGCCTGCCTGCCGGGGATGCTTGCCTGCCTGCCTGCCAGCCTGGGCTGCCTCCTCCTCCTCCTCCTCCTCTGGGGCTGCCGCAGAGCGGCGCCGGTGGCCGCCCGCCTGCCAGCCTAGGGGTCGCCTGGGTCACCGGCGCCACACGGCAAGATCTCCAAGGCAGCTCTCCTGCGGCCTGCTGCAGACTGGGGTGCCTGCCCACTGCTGGGGCGGGGCCCGCCTGCCGGGGTGCCCACCTGGGGGGTGCTCCTGCCCGAGGTCCTGGGGGCTCTTGCCGGGGGGGGGCTCTCCCTGCCTGCCCAGTCTGGGCGCCGGGGGGGTGGCCTGCACGGCCTGGGGCCCCGGCTGCAGGCGGGCAGGCGGCCCAGGCAGCCGCGCTCCAGAGGCGGTGCAGCACGCCCTGCGGGAGGCCACGCAAGGCAGTCCTGCCTGCAGGAGGAAGAACGTTACAGCCTGGCGAAAGACCCGACCGTATGCAGTTGTGAGTGCCGCAGTTGTGGGCGTCGTCTTCGGTGGAGCTCCCTATGGGCCTGTGGGTCACCACCCACCAAACCACCCCAACCCAACCCGAAGGCTCAGATTTACCCTCGATTTCTAGTGGGGGGGGGTCCGGGAACATCGAAAAAACACATATGGAGCCCATACCCCCCCCAACCCGAAATTCGGGTCTTCGGGTTGGGTTGGGGTGGTTTGGTAGGTAGTCAGTGGGCGCCTGCAGGAGGAAAAACAGTACTCCCCGCGGGGGAGCAGCACAAGACGAGGCGGGCCACGACCGTGGCCTTGCCCTGTCGGCGCGTGCGCACGGCGCGGCGCGGCACGGGCCGCCCGGCGCACTCGGGCATTCGGCATGCCGAAAATCCGCTTCGGCACGGCGCGGCACGGCACGCGGGCGGCGCGGATTCACGCTTAGGATTTCTCATGAGGGGAAAAAACACACAGACAGAATTCATCGTCGATGCCCCAGAAAATATGGGAAAGTATGGGAAGTGGGGGGGAAGACAAAAACCCAGAAAATATGGGAAAATGTGGGGCATCCTGTTATTTGTGTGTATTCATTTGTGTGTCCCAAGTCCCCTTCAGTTTCGGCGCACGGCACGGCACCGCACGGCGCGCGGGGGGCGCAAGTTTCGCGGTCTGGACCTTTGGCACGGCGCGGAGCGGCGAAGCACATGATGGCATTCTAGAGCTCGGCCGCGGCACGGCACGGCGCGCGGGCGGCGCCTTTCTCGCGCTCTCGAGCCCAGGCGCGGCACGGCACGCGGGCGGCGCGCTCGTCGCCTCCGAGCAGCTCGGCATGGCACGAACGACGCGTCACGGCAGGCGGGCCGTACACTTTTCGCATGGTCGAACTTCTTCCTCCTCGCGACAGGAAGTGGCACGAAGGCGACGCGGCACGGCACGCCACTCGGGCGGCGCACGTCTCGAATTCTCGAGCTTCTTGCCGTGAACGGCACGGCGCGGCACGCGGACGGCATTGCGGCGCGGCGCGGCGCGGCGCGGCACGGCGCGGCGCGCGGGCGACACCTCTTCGCTTCCACAGCATCTCTTGCCGTGCGCGGCACGGCACGGCATGCGGGCGGCACACCTTCAACATTCTGGATTCTTTGGCACGGCACGGCACGGCACGGCACGGCAGGCGGGCGGAGCACTTTTGCAGTGCGGCACTTCTTGCCGCGCACGGCGCGGCACGGCACCCGGGCGACGCAGTTTTTTGAACAGCCTCGAGTTTTGGCACGGCGCGGCACGGCGTGGCAAGACGGACGGGCTGCACGTGCTTCGCGCTCCTCTGCTCTTTGGCAGCCTGCTGGCCGGGCACGGCACGGGCACGCCGCGGCACAGCGTGCACGGCGCCGCGCTTCGCGGGGAAGGCGCGGCACGGTGCCTGCACAGCGCGCGGGCGGCACTTCTTTGTTTGTTGAAGTCCGAAGGCCGGGCACGGCACGGCGCGCGGCACGGCGCGCGGCACGGGCGCAGTACGCTGCGGGCGCGGCGCGGCACGCGGGGCACGGCACGGCACGGCACGGCTTGCTTCACATGCACGCTGGTGGTGTTGGAAGCAGGTAGTTCTGAATTCCCAGATCCCAAGCTACTTCAAGCGCCTTCCTACGTCAAGAACCGATCTGCTTTTGCTGCGCTTCGTGACTCTCTGGGAGGGCCCGAACCCAATCTACTCTGTCCGCCTTCCTACTTCATGTTTTTACCTACTTGTTCCGACCGACGTGTAATTGTGTTCTCTTCAATCGCTTGCGTATTCTGCGAACTTGTTGTTTGGGGAAAAGAGTATTGGGGTCTTTTGGATGCTTTGGCTCTGTTGGGTTTCTTTACGGCACTCGGGGGTCTGGGGAGCTGTCTGGCGTAGTCTCCAGGGCGAATGGTTTCTGCCATCAGGGTGACAGTGCGAACCTCGTTGACACAAGTCAGAGTTTTTTACAGGTTTGGACTTCTCGGGGCCTCCATGGTGGACCCTATGGCGACCTTGGATCAACATCGAGTAATGCAATGGTTCTTACCATATCGAGACACGTCGGCCAATGTTCGGCCATGGTGGGACACATCCGTGGTCATCTTGGGACGCGTCGCCCCAACTTGGAGACCAACTTTGGGCATCTGGGGCCATCTAGAGGATCTTGGTGACGTCTCGAAAGCGGCTTGGGCCTGGAGGTCTTCGTGAGCCATTTTGCGCAATTCAAGCAACGGAGTGTGCAATGACGGGGGGTGGGAGGAAGTTATCGACGGGCCTTTTGCGAGGCTTCCGTGCGCCAGACCAAAAGCCAGTGATAAACGATCCCATCGAAGCACCCCGAGAGCAGGATGACTGAGAGGGTCTTGGGAGTGTCCTGAGAGGCCCTGAAAGGGTCCTGAGAGGCTCTTGAGAGGTTTTGAGAGGCTAGTGGACAGGCTCCTCAGTGGGTCTTGGGAGGCTCCTGAGAGTTTCCTGGGTGGTTCGTGAGAGGCTCTTGAGGAGGCTACTGCGAGGTTCCTGACAGGGCCCTGAGAGGGTTCTGATGTCAGAGTATGTTTTGGCAGTTTTTGTAGTTTTTGTTTTTGTTTTTGTGTGTTTTGATGCATCCAGCAGAAATGCGTAGCACCCCGCAGATGCGGATAAGAGTGAGGGGGCGGTGGGGACGTCGGCAGTTTGCGAGGCTCTGGAGAAGCCCGCCGCAGGCGCCAACGTTTCACAAATTATACAACGAGCCCGCCGCAGGCGCCGATTTTTTCGTTAAACCAATGTGGTTAGGTCGCAGGTGGGTCGCGGGTGGGTCGCAAATGGGTCGCGGGTGGGTCGCAGGTAAGTCGCGGGTGGGTCGCTGTTGGGTCGCGGGTGGGTCGCGGGTGGGTCGCGGGTGTAGAGGACAGAAAATCCACCCCATAATAATCACGCCGAAAAGCGAAGCCATTTAGTAAATGCACACAAGGAATAAATCGAACAGGGCAGAGCTGTTTAGTCAACGCCCAGGGCCGTTTAGTAAACGTCAATTGTCGGGTCCGGATGGTTTTCCCTCCCTTGAGGGTGGGTCGCGGGGTGGGTCGCGGGTGGGTCGCGTGGTGGGTCGCGGGTGGGTCGCGGATGGGTCGCGGGGTGGGTCGCGGGTGGGTCGCGGGTGGGTCGCGGGTGGGACCCCGACAACAACAGCAACAACAACACCAACAACAACACTACCAACAACACCAACAACAACAGCAGCAACAGCAACAACACCGCCAACATCAACAATCAGTTTACCTTCATGCGCGATGTTTCCACACGAGGCATGCGACCATCATGATAACCATCCCCATCATGATGGATTCTTGTTCTTTAGCGGGGTCCGTTATTCCCATTCCCACATCTCCCGCGCAATGAGGTCTTGCAAACACCTCCGAGGAATTTCAACATATCCCGCCTCGAAAACACATGCCCGCGCCTTGCTGCGCCGATGCGAGACCGCCAGTGGGGCCCCAGCCAAGGGTAAAGCACAAGGAAGTATCGAGCGACAGGATTGCCTTTGTGGGGATGGGGGCTGTCGGCGGCGAGGCAAGGACCTGGCCCTGAGTAGAAAGGGAGGAAGTTTCGAGCAGGGCCGCTGTTGATGCTGGAAGCGGCGCCAATGCTGAAGAGAGTAGGGCGCTAGTCCAGCGCAAAACAAAACGAAGTCTCCAGCAGGAACGCTGGTTTTGGTTTTCGGCGGCGAGGAGGAACACCGCCTTGAGAAAGAAGGGAGGAAGCCTCGAGCGGGAGCGTTGTTCTTGCTGGGAGCGGCGCCAATTCAAAAGAGAGTAGGGCGCCAGTCCAGCGTAAAACGCGAGGAAGTCTCGGGCGGGAGCGCTGGTTTTGTCGCGACGGCGGTTTTCGGCGGCAAGGAGGAGCACCGCCTTGAGTAAAAAAGGGAGGAAGTCTCGAGCGGGAGCGTTGTTGTTGCTGCGAGCGGCGCCGATGAGAGAAAGAGTAGCGCGCCAGTCCCAGGTAAAACGGGAGGAAGTCTCGAGCGGGAACGCTGGTTTTGTTGGGGCTGCGGCTTTCGGCGGCGAGCAAGAGTCCCGGCCCTGAGTAAAAAAGGAGGAGGTCTCGAGCGGGAGCGTTCTTGTTGTTGTTGTTGTTGTTGTTGTTGTTGTTGTTGTTGTAGTAGTAGTAGTAGTAGTAGTTGTTGTTGTTCTTGTTGTCGTTGTTATTGTTGTTGTTGTTGTTGTTGTTGTTGTTGTTGTTGTTGTTGTTGTTGTTGTTGTTGTGGTTGTAGTTGTAGTTGTAGTTATAGTTGTTGTTGTTGTTATTGTTGTTGCTGTTGTTGCTGTTGTTGTTGTTGTTGTGGTTGTTGTTGTTGTGGTTGTTGTTGTTGTTGTTGTTGTTATTGTTGTTGTTGTTGTTGAACATTATTACTTCTAAAGAATAATTATTGTTGGGGCCCCTGGTGCATGGCCCCCCCGCCGCGCCTAGGCCGCAGCCACGTTTTCATCATTTTCGTGAGGAAGCCTCAGGCAAAACGATGTCATCCAGATCCGGTTGTGTTGTTACGATCGGTTTTCCCTTGCAAAAAATAAGCTAAAGTGGACATTTCTTGTTCTAACATAACCAAACTTCAAGAATCCCTTGCAAAAAATAAGGTAAAGTGGGCATTCGCGCGCGCAAGACGAAATCCTTCCAAAACCTTAGTTTTCGTAACGATTTTAACATAAAAACATCAAAAAACCAATGGTTTTTCAAAAAAAATGTCAAAATTTCATCCCGCGCGCTCTTGCGGATTCGTAGGAAACCCAACACTTTTTAAACATTTCTGTCAAACGGGCTTTTGCGAGCAACTTTTTCGAACTTCTGCAACAACGGTTGCGCACCTGCCAGGGCCATCATCCCTGTCAAATAATACCATGCGGGACACATTCGTTTTTTCTTCGCGCGCGCACGCCGTCGTCGTCGGCCGCGGGGCCCTGAATAGTAGCCACGGTCGTCCGCATGCCACGAAGTGAAGTGTCCGAACGTCATAGGGCGGGAAGCTGGGTGTGGGTGGTGGCGAAGAGTCGTTTGGAAATTTGGTAGAGCTTGAACCGGCCCCCCCACAAAGTGGGGGTATTGCCCGCCTCCTATGAAAACCCTGGCACTGGTGAGAACGGAGTGTCCCCACGTGCTAGTAATTGTTGTTGTTGTTGTTGTTGTTGTTGTTGTTGTTGTTGTTGTTGTTGTTGTTGTTGTTGTTGTTGTTGTTGTTGTTGTTGTTGTTGTTGGGGGGGGGGCTGGTTTTGGCGCCCCCCCAAACCGCTCGAGCGTGAGCCTCATTCTTAATGAACATGTAGCCGCCGCCGAGGCGAGAGCGCCAGGGCGCCTGAGGGGGGTCCAACAATAATAATTGTTCAGTAATTAAATTAACATTCGCCAGCAACAACAACACCACGACCACCACCACCACCACCAACAACAACAACAACGCAACAAGCGTAAGTCTCACCACGAATTCCTTATTCAGCCACGCACCCAGGAACAACGAATGACCGTTCGGCCCCCTCACTCTGATGGAGTATCCCATGATTTTGGGAGGATTTGGGACAGATTCTGGTATGGCCGCCCAAAGGGAATCCGATTCGATTGCACAAACAAGTGGCGGCAGCGTGCTGGCACCGCGGCGGCTCTGGCAGCGCGAACCCAGTCGCTGGGATCCCCCTGGGAGAGAGTATGGACGTTGTTTTAGCTTCAGTCTCTGATTGGAGCCCAAGAAGCAAGACACTGTAAGGGATACGGAGCCAGAGCTTAGTACGCCAGGCCTCGCTGTGTTGAACCGCGGCGGGCGACAACTTCGCTTTCGCCCTTTGGCTGGGACCCCTGCGGACCTTTCATCTGGTGCTGAGTCTGGGGTGTTTGAAGCCCAGATTGCATTCCCGAGTGTTGCTCAAGTGTGTCTACAATATCCGCATCGGGGGATAAGCTGGATCTTAGGCGATTGCAGGTGTAGCCCCAGGACTCAACATCCAGTGCTGCGCGAACACGTGTCGTCCACGATCTCAGACCGGCAGCAGGCTCCTCGCATCTCTTCCGCTTGGACCGCCGCTGCCTCTTTTCTTCTGGAGCGCCCCCCGGCGCATCGGAGGGAACCCCGGCCAGCGGGCTTCTCTCTGTGCGACCGCACAGACAAGAGGTGGAGCCTCCATGGCGGTCCCGGGCGCCCAGGCCGCCCCGACGCGGCCGCAGCAGACGGGGCCGGAGGGTCGCCCCGCGTCGGAGATGCACTTGCGGTGCGGCCCCAGACGTGCGATGTCTTGACTCTCTCGATGCGGGGTCCCTGGGGCCGGCGCTGCGTCCCGAGCCGCTTGCTGACGCACCTGGGTGCCCGGCGGGAGGCCGAACGCGACCAGCAAAAGCCGTCCGTCGGTGTTCTGGTTTCACGACGCGAGCATGTCTGGGTCGGGCCCTCCGACCCCGTCTGCTCAGGGCCCGCCTGGGCGGCCTCCGGGGTTCGCGTGTTGCCCGGGGTGGCCCTGGCCCAGGGTGGCCGCAGCCTTCGGGAGGTGGCCTCGGAGCTCCTCCCCGCCAGCCCAGACCCGCAGAGGGCAAGGGAGGGCGAGGAGCTGGGTGCGAGGGGTTCTGGGACTCCTCCCTCCACGTCGCGCCACGCCACCTCTCCCCTCCCAGGTGGCCCCAGAGGTTCCCCCGGGACCGGTTTTTCCTTCCGAATCGTGTTTGGACGGTCCCGAGGCCCCGGAAGGGTCCCGAAAGGCCGAACACGATGAACAACTTCCGCCTCGATCTTTTTGAGACGCCAGGTGTCCGGGGGTGTCCCAGAGGCCTCGCCCCAGAGGCCCTGCCGCGTCGCTCCCTGGCCAGGCCCATCCTGAACCCAATAGCTGTGCCTACGCGCTCCTGGCTTGGCCAGGGCGGCGTTGCGTGCGCACCGCTGCTTGGTGCAGGATGGGCCTGGCCAGGCAGCAGTGGATGCGTATGGAATGGGCTTCGTCGCCCCACGGCGCGACAGGCTGGGAGCACCTCGGGCCAGAGCCGCTGCTGGCCACACTGCCGCGCCCGCGGCGCGGCCGTCGCGGCCCGTCGCTGCCGCGGCGCCGCCTCGCCCCGCGCAGGGCCGCGCCCGCGCCCGCGCCTCGGTCGTGCACGCCAGCGGTCTGGACCCGACCGGGGCGAGGCAAGCAGCTCAGAGGATGTGGACGCCCGAAGTGGGTACGGACGAAAATTTCGCAGGCCGAGAGGTTGACACCAACACCAATATCATCGGTGTGCCTCCACCGATCGAAGATGATCCCGATCTCGGTGATGGTGGTACTATTCTGGCTTCCAAGGTGACCGAAATGTTACCACCAACCCCGCATCGAGGATCATCTTCCCCCTGTGGAGGCAACTCCCGGTGTTGGTGTTGGTGCCCACTCCTAGGCCTCCAAAACTGATACACTGCCGGGCAGCGAATGTTGTCCCAAACCAACAGCGGCCGCTGCTGGGCAGGCGGCCTTCTGCTTCAAATGGACACAGGCCGCGCCGACACCGACAGCGAGTCCTGTGCAAAATGAACAGGAACTGCTGTAGGTCTTTGTGCCCCTTCTTTCCGTACCCACGTCGATCGTCCCGGGAGAGGCAAAGGGTACCCATACCGCTACCCCTGCCTCGTTTTTCCCCTTTTTGGGCCTCCTCGGAGGCCCTCGTCGCCACTGCTGGATTCGTCTCCAGATTCTGGCCAGAACGCACTCCATGAGAGATCCAGGGAGTAGTGGTATTGGTACATTCTGGTTCCCCCAGCATCGGGGCCCCTGAGGTCAGGGCGCTGCAGTTTCCCTTGCAGCGACTCGCTAGCCCTGAGATCCTGGCGTCACAATTTTTTCGAGCCGTGCGTTTTCGCCATGCTTGGGGGTTCGAGGCTCCTCACACATCGATCCAGCTCGAACAGTGCCGCAGAAAGATGGAGCCTGGAGCTCTGGTGGTGATTTCTCGCGATGTCTCCATTTTTTTGCGCCGTCGGATTTCAGGGGGAGGGTTCTGATTCCAGACGTGGTCGCGTCGTGAAAAGGTCACGCCGCGAGGTGTGCGGTCGTTTGCGGTCCCAGGGCCCTCGCCGGGTCCCGGGGGCCGTCAAGAGCACGATCCATAACTAGAAAACGGGCTCGGAGGAAAGGGTCGGTACTTCTGGGGACCCCATGACAAAAATCAGGACGTCGCATGTCTGGGTTAGAGCTACAAGGCGTTCCCTTGCATGCACTTCGCCTTCAGCACCGAGTGATCCTGGGGCTGTGCCCTCTCTTGGCCTTGACGTGAGGCCCCGCCTTCTTCTTTCCTTCCTCTGTTCATTAAAGCAGTGCGCGGCCCGCTTAGCTTCGACCGGAAGAGGCTCGCTCTCGACCCGCGGATCAAAAAAAATGTCTGGGTGAGAGATTTCTGGTAGCTGTGAGAAACGACCACAGCAGAGTCCCACCAGGGGCGGGTCGGTGCGCCCGAGGACGTTTGCTTCGGCAGCCGGTGAGGCGGCCGTCTTGCCAGGGACTCCTTCCCAACTTCTGCAGGAACTGTGCTCTCGCCCCATGCCGGCTACATTTGTTGGCCTGGACGGCCACGACCCAAGAGGCCTGCCAGGCCCCAAGAGACCTCCAAGAGGCCCCCGAGAGGCCCCCAGAGGCCCCCCAGACACCCCGAAGACACCTCGAGAGGCTCCCAGGAAGTGCCCGGGGAGGCTTACAAGGTTCCCCAGAAGCATCCCGATGTAACGGGCATAACATTAGGGCACTCCACGAGGGAGCCGACGGGGATCGCTGTCGCCACAGGCTCAGATCCTCTCACTGCAACGCTCACAGACAGAAGCGCCGGGAACCGATATGCGCATGCGGGGATACCCATCGGTCGTTGAAAGTAGGTATTTTTGGATTCCCAGATTCCAATCTACTTTCAGCGCCTTCCTACTTCAAGAGTCGAGTGGTTTTCCCCCCTCCCTTCTCTTCAGGAGGCGGGGCGGAAACCCACTCTATTTCCAACGTCTTCCTACTTCATGTTTCTACCTACTTCTTCCAACCGATGGATATCCGCGTCGAGTACTTCTGGTGGCGCCAGGAGCCCTGCCTCTCGAGTCGCACTCCTCGGTTCTCACCGGCCCGGCCCGGACGAGTCGGGCTCCCCCGGAACGCTCTCGGCGCGGCGCACTTGCTGGAGAGCCGCTGGGGCCTCGCCCGACGCGCGCCTGGACGGATCCCTCAGCCGACGCCGCCGTCTGGAGATAAAAGAAGAGAGCATCGTCAACATTCAGGCGGGAAAAAACACACAGACACAATTAATCGTCGACTTCCAGGAAAATATGGAAAAATATGGGAAGTGGTGGGGAAGACAAAAGCCAAAAAAATATGGGAAAATATGGGGAATCTTTTTATTTGTGTCTATTTATTTGTGTGTCCCGGGGCCCCTTTAAACATACGCTTCCGGAGCTCCGCGCGGCTGTCTTGGATCCGTGCCGGGCCCCCCTGGCGGCGCCTCCGGCGCGGAACCCCGCGGCGCGCCCTGCGCGCCAGGGAGGCTCCGCGCGCCAGCGGGGAGGGCCTTGGCGCCGACCCCGGAAGTCAGCACGGGCCTCCGAGCGCACATGTTTACGCCCGTCTCTCGAGAGGAGAAAAACACACAGACACAATGAATCGTCGATTCCCCAGAAAATATGGAAACTATGGGAAGTGGGGGGGAAGACGACCCCCCCCCAAATATAGGACAATGTGGGGAATCTTTTTATTTGTGTGTATCTATTTGTGTGTCCTGGGGCCCCTTCATTCTCCCATCTCCGATCGTCGCCGTCGGCGTCGCCGTCGCACGGCCCCACACCGAATCCAAGAGCAGCAAAAATCCCCACGAATGCACCAGCCAAGCGCCCACAAGCCACGTGAAAACCCACAAGTCCCCCAACAACCGCCCAGGCAGTCCCAGCGAACCGTCACACAGCAGCTTCTCAGGAACTGCTGCACCTCCAACAAGCCGAATGCAACGCCTCCGCAAAACGGCCGCCGCCCCAGCAGCTCCGCACTGACGGCGCACACTCGGCCAACCGACAGCGGTGAGACAAGATGGTCCCGCGGAAAGAGCGACGCGATTCACTTATTCAGGAATCGTGCTCTCACCTCAATGCTGGCTACGTTTTTGGTTTCACTGCCACGATCCCATTAAAACATGCGCTAAGTTGGACATGACCGTACATTTTCCTGGAATCCGTATGAATCCCCAGGAATGCTCGTTGTCACTAACCGACCTCCTACTCCTCGACTCGCCTCTTCACCTTTGCTGCTATCATGGTGCTTTGATGGAGCCATTTTCTGGTCTTGGACCCCGGGACCATCGCAGATCGATCCGGCTAACAAAAATGCCGCAGCAAGGTGGGGTCTGGGGCCTTGGTCGTGATTTTTTTCCGAGGTTTCAGTTCTCGGGGTGATGGGGAGGAGGAAGAGGAGGAGGAGGAGGAGGAGGAGGAGGAGGAGGAGGAGGATGAGGAGGAGGAGGAGGAGGAGGAGGAGGAGGAGGAGGATGAGGAGGGGGAGCTGGTGAGCCAGTGACGTGGGGAGCTGGTGAGCGCCCCCCGAGAGTCTGGCAGCCGGTTCGCTGGAGACGTCCCCGCAGTTTCTTCGGGGATCGTGCTCTCGCCTCGCTGCCGGCTAGATTTTTAGTCAGGACGGCCACGATCCTTCTTAAAGCATGCGCTAACAGGAGAACGAAGAATGACAGCAACATGATAACTCGGAGGTCCGCGCGGACCTCCGAGTTTTGATGATTCTGCCATTCTTCGTTCCCCTGGCTGAGGGTGCACATGACCGTGCGTTTCCTGGGAGTCCCCAGGAATTCCTGGGGGTGCAGCTTGTCATCGGCCGAGGAGGAGGAGGAGGAGGAGGGAGGAGGAGGAGGAGGAGGAGGAGGAGGAGGAGGAGGAGGGGTGCAGCTTGTCATCGGCCGACCTCCTCCTCGACCCGCCTCCTCACCTCTGCTGCTGCTCTCGTGCTTTGCTGGGGCCGTTTTTCGCACCGGTCGTTCTCGCCCGGCTGCGGGCCCCAGGACCATCGCACACCGATCCGGCTCAAAGAGTGCAGCAGCAAGGCGGTGTCTATAGGGGAACGGAAAGTGACATAAACATAAAAACTCGGAGGTCCTCCTCCTCCTCCTCCTCCTCCTCCTCCTCCTCCTCCTCCACTGCGAAATCTCCGATTCTGGGGGGAACGAAAAACAAGCATACACAAGCTTTCGGAGGTCCGCGCGGACTTCTTGGATCTGCGCTGGGCCCCCCTCCCTGGCGCGCGGAGCGCGCCAGGGGCGGCGCCGGAGGCGCCGCCGGGGAGCCCCGGCGCCGATCCGAGGAATCCGCGCGGACCTCTGAGTTTTTATGTTTATGCCACTTTCTGTTCCCCTAGTCCAGGACCCTTGGTTCAGTATCGTTTGACCGATCCCTGTCCCCATCCCCATCCACGTCCCGAGCCCCGCCGTCTCACTACCTCGGTTGCGGATGTGCCCCTCGAAACCTGAAGGGAGCAGCCTGTGTTCCCATCCGGGAGGGTAAGTCGGCCAGTGGGGCCCAGCCCACGCTGGTGGGGATGGGGATCGGTTAAGCGATGCTCACTGGCCGTGGCTTTCCTCGGTGCTGCAACTTCTGTGCAGCATCGGATCTCAGGGGCCCCGGGGCGGCTCCAGCGCCAGGGCTGGTTTCGGGGCTGCTCCCGCGCCCTGGGGCCTGCTCATCGGGCCGCCAGGCAGCGGCGAAAGAGGCCCTCCCCCCCCCCCGCGTCGTTGCGTCGTCGTCGTCGTCGTCGTCGTCGTCGTCGTCGTCGTCGTCCACCCCCAGACATTCTCGCGTTGCGGACGAAGAGCACGGCGGGTGTCTTTTGGCCGTCTTCGGCCTCTGGGGGGCCCTCGCCGGGTCCTGGGGCCGTCAGCAAAAGGAAAGGACTCGGCACGAACAACTTTTCCGTGGGAAGGGGTCGGGACTTCTGGAGGCCGCGTGTTGGAAGCATGCAGACGTCGCAAGTCTGGGTGGCGGGCTGGTCGGACCGCCGAGCAGCCGCGAAAGAGGCCCTCCCGCGCGCGTCCCGCGCGCGTCCTCCCAGATCTCTGGCGATTGTGTTTGTTGTTGTTGTTGTTGTTGTTGCTGTTGTTGTTGCTGTTGCTGTTGTTGTTGTTGTTGTTGTTGTTGTTGTTGTTGCTGCTGTTGTTGTTGTTGCTGTTGTTGTTGTTGTTGTGGTTGTTGTTGTTGTTCCTGTTGTTGTTGCTGTTGTTGTTGTGGTTGTTGTTGTGGTTGTTGTTGTTGTTGTTGCTGTTGTTGTTGTTGTTGCTGCTGTTGTTGCTGTTGTTGTTGTTGCTGTTGTTGTTGTTGTTGTTGTTGTTGTGGTTGTTGTTGTTGTTGTTGTTGTTGTTGTTGTTGTTGTCGTTGTTGTTGTTGTTGTCGTTGTTGTTGTTGTTGCTGTTGCTGTTGTTGTTGTTGTTGTTGTTGTTGTTGTTGTTGCTGTTGCTGTTGTTGCAGTTGCTGTTGCTGTTGCTGTTGCTGTTGCTGTTGTTGTTGTTGTTGCTGTTGTTGTTGTTGCTGTTGTTGTTGTTGTTGCTGTTGTTGTTGTTGAACATAATTTCTTCTTAAGAATAATTATTGTTGGGACCCCTGGTGCACGACCCCCCCGCCGCGCCTAGGCCGCAGCCTCATTTTCATCATTTTCGTGAGGAAGTCTCAGGCAAAACGGGGGAGTCCGGATCCGGTTGTGTTGTTACGATCGGTTTTCCCTTGCAAAAAATAAGCTAAAGTGGACATTTCTTGTTCTAACATAACCAAACTTCAAGAATCCCTTGCAAAAAATAAGGTAAAGTGGACATTCGCGCGCGCAAGACGAAATCCTTCCAAAACCTTAGTTTTCGTAGCGATTTTAACATAAAAACATCAAAAAACCAATGGTTTTTCAAAAAAAAATTGTCAAAATTTCATCCCGCGCGCTCTTGCGGATTCGTAGGAAACCCAACACTTTTTAAACATTTCTGTCAAACGGGCTTTTGCGAGCAACTTTTTCGAACTTCTGCAACAACGGTTGCGCACCTGCCAGGGCCATCATCCCTGTCAAATAATACCATGCGGGACACATTCGTTTTTTCTTCGCGCGCGCACGCCGTCGTCGTCGGCCGCGGGGCCCTGAATAGTAGCCACGGTCGTCCGCATGCCACGAAGTGAAGTGTCCGAACGTCATAGGGCGGGAAGCTGGGTGTGGGTGGTGGCGAAGAGTCGTTTGGAAATTTGGTAGAGCTTGAACCGGCCCCCCCACAAAGTGGGGGTATTGCCCGCCTCCTATGAAAACCCTGGCACTGGTGAGAACGGTGTGTCCCCACGTGCTAGTAATTGTTGTTGTTGTTGTTGTTGTTGTTGTTGTTGTTGTTGTTGTTGTTGTTGCTGTTGCTGTTGTTGCAGTTGCAGTTGCTGTTGCTGTTGCTGTTGCTGTTGCTGTTGCTGTTGTGTGTGTGTGTGTGTGTGTGCTTTTTCCCAGTCTGGGCGTTTCTGTTCCGCCCATTTCGGCATCCGGGGACTGTTCCCTCGGGCCCAAGGGTTATCATAACCCCTGGGACAGGGGTCGGGATCTCCACGGGGCCGCGGATGGGCAAAAGTCACATCGCGGGATGCCTGGGCTGGTCGTCGTCTTCGTCGTCGTCCTCTTCCTCCTCCTCCTCCTCCTCCTCCTCTTCCTCCCCCCCTCCCCTTCTCCTCCTCTCGGCCGTCGTGCCCCAAGGGGCGCGGCAAGCGCCCAGCTCACAGGGAGTGGCCTTGCTTTCGCGGAGGGCCGATCCGATTCGATCCCTCCTCCCCCCGAAGAATCGTTTACATATCTGCATTTTGCTTTCGATATCTTGGATCGGCGCTGGACCCGCCTGGCTCTGCCTCCTGCGCCGCCCCTGGCGCGCTCCGCGCACCGGGGAGGGGGTTCCGGCGCCGATCCAAGAAGTCCGCGCGGACCTCCGAAAGCTTGTGTATGCTTGTTTTTCGTTCCCCCCAGAATCGGAGATTTCGCAGTGGAGGAGGGGGAGGAGGAGGAGGCGGAGGAGGAGGAGGAGGAGGAGGAGGAGGAGGAGGAGGAGGAGGAGGAGGAGCAGGAGGCGGTGTCCGTCGGTTCTTCATTCCCTTGGTTCAGGGTTTTCGTGCATTTCCGTGCGCCGAGGGCCTCGGGGCCTGGGTGGCTCCCGCGGGGGCGGCGGATGGCTTCCGCGGCAGTAGCGGGCGTGCACAGTCCGCCCGGCGCGGAGGCGGGACGGCACGCATCCGGCACGAGGTGGCCTCGAGTCGCCGAGCGCGTTCCGCTGCCCGCAAAGTGCCCACTCGCAAACGTCTGAAACACAAATCTCTCCCTCTGTGTCGTGGATCGTAAGTCCCCGCGGCGGACCCGCGCCATTTGCGAGCAGTTACCTTGCGAGTAGTGGAGCGCGCTTGTCCTTCGAGGGGACCGTCCTGCAATGGCAGGGTTTTGTGTACCCGCCCTGCGTTGGCTCGTGGTGGACCGCTGGGCCAAGAGCCTCCGAGGTGGCCTCGGGCTCCGCGTTCTGGGCCCAGGCGGACGAGGCGCGCAGAGCCCGCCCGCCCATACCCGTGTGCTTTTGCATGTTTGTGGTCTCCACGGTGGCGCTTCCGTTTCCACGAAGGCTCGCGGTGTCCCGCGGTGTCGCGTGGTGTCCCGTGGTGTCCCGTCGTGCCCGCCGTTGCTAGGGCGAAATCAAGACAAATGATTCTCCCCCGCCCGCCCGCCCGTCCAGCGGTTGCTCGCGGTGTCCCGCGGTTGTCCTGTGGTGTCCCGTGGTGTCCGCCGTTGTTAGGGTGAAGTCAAGGCAGATGATTCTCCCCCGCCCGCCCGTCCGGCGGTGGCTCGCAGTGTCCCGCGGTTTCCCGTGGTGTCCTGTGGTGTCCCGTGGTGTCTGCCGTTGCTAGGGCGAAGTCAAGACAAATGATTCTCCCCCGCCCGCCCGTCTGGCGGTGGCTCGCGGTGTCGCGCGGTGTCCCGTGGTGTCCCGTGGTGTCCCGTGGTGTCCCGTTGAGTGAGATCGATAGTGAGATCGATAGTGAGATCGATAGTAAGATCGATAGAGAGATCGATATTGAAATCGATACTGAGATCGAAGTGGTGCCCAGAGGTGTCTCGTGGTGTCCGGTGGTGTCCCAAAAAGTGAGACCGATATTGAGATCGATATTGAGATCGACATGTGTCCCGTGGTGTCCCGTGGTGTCCAGTGGTGTCCCGTTGAGTGAGATCGATAGTGAGATCGATAGTGAGATCGATACTGAGATCGATGTGGTGCCCCGAGGTGTCCCGTGGTGTCCCGTGGTGTCCCGTGGTGTCCTATGGTGTTCCGTTGAGTGAGATCGATAGTGAGATCGATAGTGAGACCGATAGTAAGATCGAGAGGTGCCCCGCGGTGTCCCGTGGTGGCCCGTGGTGGCCCGTGGTGTCCCGTGGTGTCCCGTTGAGTGATATCGATACTGCGATCGATAGTGAGATCGACAAGTGTCCCGTGGTGTCCCGTGGTGTCCCGTGGTGTCTGGTGGTGTCCCCTTGAGTGAGATCGATAGTGAGATCGATTGAGTCAGAGTTTGGTTCCCCCCTTCTCCCTCACAACTTCCTTATCACCCGAAGGCTGGTCGTGTAGGTATGTATATGTACATGTATATGTATTTGTATGTGTATTTGTTTGCGTTTGCGCATATGTACATGCAAGTGTATGTGCTTATGCACTTGTACATGCAAATCTAGGTATTTATGCATAAGTTATATATAGGTATATGTAGATGCATGCATACTTATACTTATATATATACATATATATCTACGTATGTATGTATGTATGTATGCATGCATGTATGTATGTATGTATGTATGTATGTATGTCCGTCTGTATGTATGTATGCATGCATGCATGCATGCATGTATGTATGTATGCATACATGCATGTATGTATATGTGTATGTATGTTTGTATGTGGGTATATATGTAAGTCTGTCTGTCTGTCTGTCTGTCTGTCTGTCTGTCTGTCTGTCGGTCTGTCTGTCTGTCTGTCTGTCTGTCTGTCTGTCTGTCTGTCTGTCCGTCTGTCTGTATGTATGTATGTATGTATGTATGTATATGTGTATGTGTATGTGTATGTGTATGTGTATGTGTATGTGTATGTGTATGTGTATGTGTATGTGTATGTGTATGTGTATGTGTATGTGTATGTGTATGTATGTGTATGTGTATGTGTATGTGTATGTGTATGTGTATGTGTATGTGTATGTGTATGTGTATGTGTATGTGTATGTATATGTATATGTATATGTATATGTGTATGTATGTATGTATGTATGTATGTATGTATGTATGTATGTATGTATGTATGTATGTATGTATGTATGTATGTATGTATGTATGTATGTATATATATAAACACATACATAAATAAATAGATAAATAAATACATGGGGACGGGGTCCTGGACCAGGGGGGGCCTCACTTTGCCCAGTGGCTGTGGTCACCCCCCCGCCGGAGACGCCAGGACGCTCCCAGGACCCTCTAAAATGGCTCCAGGACGCCCTCAGGACAGCCCAAGAGAGTTCCGAAGAGGCCCGGGAGCACTCCAAGACGGTTAAAAAGCTGCCACAGCGTCCCAGCAGGTCTCCGACAGCACTCCCGGGAGGGGCCCAAGAGGGAATTGTCATTGATTTTCGTTGGTTTTTGAAGGGTTTTGGCGTTCTCCCCAGTTCGGCTTCCAGACGCTCCAAGACGGCCCAAGAGGCCCGAAAGATCGCGTCAAGATGAGCCAAGAGGCCCCCAAGAGACCACCGAGACAGCCCAAGAGGGCCCCAAGACGGCCCAGGAAGCTTCCAAGACGGCCCAAAAGAGCTCCCAGAACACTCCAAGAGTAGCCCCAGATGGGGAACACGAACTGACATTCCGAGCCCTCGCCCACCAGAAGCTCCCAAGAGGCCCCCAGGAGTCCGCAAGAGGCCTCGAGAGGCCCCCAGGAAGCTCCAAGAGGCCTCCTAAAGGCGCCGAAAGGGCCCCGCAAGGCTTCCAGACGCTGGTGATAATGACAATGATGATGATGCAGGGCGGCCTCAGGCCCACAACCTAAATCCCCAACAGTGCTCACGCGGCATGCAAGACGCTGCGGAGATATCCTCGAATTCGGCGGGGGAGCTTCGGAGGCGACGGTGACGAAGATGATGACGATGATGACGACTATTATGAAATTGACGACGACGATGATAATGATGAGGAAGAGGATGATGCTGATGTTGACAGTGGGAACGATGATGATGGTGATCGTGATGTGAGTGATGGTGATGATGATGGTGGTGATGCTGACGATCATGATGACGATGACGGTGATGCCGTTGAGGATGGTGATGCTGATGATCATTATGATGATGCTGGTGATGGTCAGGATGATAACGCCGATGCTGATAATAATGGTGGCGATGCTGTTAATGGTGTTTGTGATGCAGGAGTGGGCGGATGATGAAGATGATGACGACGATGATGACGATAACGATGACGACGATCACGACGACGACGATAATGATGACGATGGTGATGATGAGGATGATTATGTTGATAATTCAGGTGACGATACTGACGATGATGACGACGATGGCGATGATGACGATGGTGATGACGATGTTGCTGCTGATGGTGGTGATGGTGACGATTGTGATGATGGTGATGGTCATGGTGATGATGACGATGCCGCTGACGATGACGCCGGATATGATGGTGATGAGGATGGCGATGATGACGATGACGATTATCCTAGCTAGCACTTGAGCGCGCGCGAAGCGCGCGCGATGGTTCTAGTATATATTATATATATATATATATATATATATATATATTACATATATATATATAATATATATATATATATATATATATTATATATATGAGTAGGCCAGGGGGGGGGGGGGGGCAACATCGGTGCCGTCATCCCCCATGGCGGTCCCCCCGAACCTTTGGGGGTCACAGACCCCCCGGGACTGCCCCAGGCCGCTTCCAAATTGCCGACGACAGGCCACGCGGGCCGTACAGATGGTCACGAAAGCTTGAGGAGGCCCCGAAGATGCCCAAGAGCGCCCCAAGAGGGCCCGTGAGGGCCCCAAGAGGGCCTTCAAGAGGCAAACATCTGTCCGTTTCCTTCGTAAAACATGCGTTTTCGGCATGCTCGCTGGCTTCGTCTTCACAGTGCCCCAGACGCCCCCGCGGAGCCCTAACACAGCCCAGGAGAGACCCAAGAGGGCCCCAGACGGCCCAAAAGGGTCGGCCTGTGGGGCTCACGAAACCCCCCAAGACGGCCCAAGAGGCACCGAAACCGGCCCAGGAGGCCCCCAAGACGGCCTCGGAGGCCCAAGAGGGCCTCGTTCGAAATCATGTTCCCGGAAGCCTCTCCGGGAACATGATTTCCAGGTTCCCAGGGCCCCCCACTGAGCCCCAGGACAGCCTCAGCGAGGCCCCGGAGGGCCCGAGATGGCTTGAAGATGGCCGAAGAGGGCCCCAAGAGGGCCTTCAAGAGGCACAAATCGGCCATTTCCCTTGTAAAACGTGCATTTTCGGCATACTCGCTGGCTTCGTCTTCACAGTGCCCCAGACGCCCCCGCGGAGCCCCAACACAGCCCAAGAGAGACCCAAGAGGGCCCCAGACGGCCCAAAAGGGTCGGCCTGTGGGGCTCACGGACCCCCCCAAGACGGCCCAAGAGGCCCCGAAGCTGGCCCAGGAGGCCCCCAAGACGGCCTCAGGGAGGCCCAAGAGGGCCCCGTTCGAAATCATGTTCCCGGAAGCCCATCCGGGAACATTACTTCCAGGCTTCCAGGGCCCCCCACTGAGCCCCAGGACAGCCTCAGCGAGGCCCAGGAGGGCCCGAGATGGCTTGAAGATGGCCGAAGAGGGCCCCAAGAGGGCCTTCAAGAGGCAAAAATCTGCCCGTTCCCTCAGTAAAAATTTAATTGTCAGCAAACTCCCTTGCTTCACCTTCGCAGTGCCCAAGACGCCCCCGCGGAGCCCCAACACAGCCCAACAGAAACTCAAGAGGGCCCAAGACGGCCCGAAAGGGTCGTCCTGTGGGGCTCACGGAACCCCCCAAGACGGCCCAAGAGGCCCCGAAGCCGGCCCAGGAGGCCCCCAAGACGGCCTCAGGGAGGCCCAAGAGGGCCTCGTTCGAAATCATGTTCCCGGAAGCCTCTCCGAAAACATGATTTCCGGGTTCCCAGGACGCCCAAAGACAGCCCCCAGAGTCCCCGGACACGCCGAAGTTTGCTTCAGGACGGCCGACGACGCCGCCAAAACGCCCCAAGAGCGCCTCCAGAGGCCCCTCCAAAGGGCCCCCGAAGCCGAAAATCAAATGGTTTTTGAAGCATTCTTGCGCTCTCCCATGTTCCGCCTCCCCACGGTCCCGGACCGCGTCAGAGGCCCTTCAGATCGCTCTAAGACGGCCGAGGAGGCTCCCAAGAAAGCAGAGACGGCCCACGAGGCTCCCCAGATAAGTCAAGAGGGCCTCGAGAGCGCCCCAAGAGAGACCCAAGAACGACTCAAGAGGGTCCGAAGAGCGCGACATTTCAAGGTCTCCAGCCTGAGAGGCTCCTAGGACAACCCCAGAGGCGATCAAGAGGCTTCCAAGAAGCCACGTGAGGCTCCAAGAGGCCCCCTGGAAGCCCCAATCGGCCCCCAAAGGGCTCCCAGGGAAGC